ATCTACTGTTTGCCATTTCCGTGGATGTCTGTAATGCTGCTTTTATTGAACAGCAGGCAAAACCAAAAGGACACAAATTCCTACAGATGTATATGAAAATTCTGGAGTGGTGCGTTGCCATAAACACTATAAATTAGTTTGAAAGACTGCACAAGTTTATAGAGGAAGAAAAATAGCTGTTGGGGTGTTTCAGTGTGATGGGTAGGGTGGCAAGTCTGAAGGTATAGTTTGTTTCAGGATGCAAGGGCTTGCATCGTAGAATCATAGAATATTTAGGGTTGGAAAGGACCTTAAGATCATCTAGTTCCAACCCACCTGCCATGGGCAGGGACTCCTTGCACTTTGACAGATGTGAAGATTAGCCTATTCTGTTACACGTTATTTCTCAGCCATCAGTTCTGGACAGTCAGAGGGGGTGTTGGTCTATAAGGACATTTAATCCAGTAGGAAAGTTCTTCTGGGTTTATGAACTTGAAGGGACATCGTTGGTTGGTGGGGCTGAGTTCAGAATCTGACTTGATTTAAAGTAATTGGGTGATATGCTCTAGTCTAGCTGTGGTTTACTACTCCCGAGTTAAACTGCCATGTGTCTGTTTAGGTGAGGCCTCTGGTTTTGCCCCGACAGCAGCTGTGTGTCAAACTCTGGCTGACTCTGCTGGTGGGTGTAAGCTGAGCCCACCTTTGCTGCTGTATGATAAAATCACAGTTCCTGTTACAAAATACCCCTCTCCTGACTCTGTTGCCACACTTCAGTTTATGCTCAAGCCTAAACCTAGCCTGTAAAAAGACAATTTCTGGTAAATTAGTCTTGTCTAGCTACATGTCTTTGTATTCTTCCACACTTTTGGGGTTTAGCTGAGAGCAGTGCCTACTGTTCCCAGCACTACACTTGACGAAACACAAGACCTATGAAGTCCAGTTTGAGGAAATATAATTCCTCCAACAAAGTGGGCAGGAGGAGATGTTCATCAGCAGGTTCTTCATGAAGATGTGTCCAGGCTCTTTATTAATATGCCTCTTAATAGCAGACTTCAGCACAGAGACAAGTGGTTTTAGGCATTTAATTTCCTAGCACTGGTGTACTTATTTTAAATTGTATAATATATGACTTGTATAATAACTTTTACCAATGACAATACAAGCTAGTGATGCTGGATTTTCTATTTTCAACCTGATTAGGTTGCAAATAACATATTTCATGGGATAATTAAAGTATTTTCTGAAAATGTCAAGTAAGTTGGAGGTTTAACAGAAGTGAAAAAGGAGTGAGTGAGCTGGAGTGTTGGTGAAAAATTAATCATCCTTTCTTGACGTGGTTATCGATGGCTTTTCAGGCAACTTAAGAAATTGAGTTCTTATTTTGGTCTTCTCCAGAAATAAAACTAGAATTACAGAAGGAAATTCATACAGTAGCATGGACTTCATACTCTTACTCTTCTATTTCTCTCCACCAAATGCTTGTCTTAAACCTTTGGGGTGGTGAATGCTGTAGTCAAATGCATCAATTTAAAGAACATGGGCCAGTTCAATACTTGCAACCACCACTAAACCAGTAAGAATGACCTGCCTGGAAGTAGTCTCTTGGGACAGGGAGATCACTTTTATGACTTTCAGCATGTGCCAATGCCAATCTCTGATTGAAAACCTTTCTAAGGTGCTGCTCCTATAAAGGGAAGTGCTGGTCCAAAGCAGGTTACTGATGGAGGCTTTCAAGGCTGGGTTTTGTGGCTGAACTTGCTAAGTATTTCCTCTAGACCTTCTTTCCCTGCTGATGTAGTGAAGGATTTTGCTGATGATGGTACAGGAGAAGGCAGGTTGGAGCACGGCCCTGGAAGGATTGTGTGCTGATGAGGACTGCAATCCTCCAAATGAGGTGGGGTTCAGGATGTAAAGCTGTCTGCCTGGGGACTCAGAGGAGTTTGGTAAAGTAAACATTTGCCAACTTAATGCTAGAACAGTTAGGTCGGATCACGGGCAGACCGAGCAATCAAGGTGATATGGTCAGGGAAAGGTAATTCTAGCTCCAGGCATATCTAGTAGAGGTGCAAATACTACAATCCCTGCATGCATTACAGGGAGATCTCACTTAGAATGATGTGCGTGTTTCACTGTGTGAAAAAGAAACTGAAAAGCTTGTATGGAAGATGTGTTGGGAAATGGACAGTCTGTTTCTAAGTTGACTTACTTAGCTAGTAGAGCAAAGCCCAGGGAAGATGTGGTTGCTTTCTGTAAATACCCCAGTGTGAACACCGCAGGGAGAAGAAACTAATAAGCTAATGGACAATGCTGGCACATGAACACCACCATCAGCTGACCACTAATTTCTGCTGAAAATTAGGAGGCAATTTCTAACCATTAGGAGAGAGTTTCTGGAAGAAAAGCCCAATAAAAGTGTGTGTGCAAGAACAATTAGCTTTGTGGAACTAGATAACATCATTTCCCTCCCAGAAACTGAGTGCCTGGGATAGTTAGGCTGGGACTCAGCCATCCAGGATCATTCCTACTGTGTTTCTATGCTAATAATATAATGCACGGGAATACTGCGTAATATAAATTATCAAAATGAGGTGGTTTGATAAGGAAAGCAAGATTAATAATACAATCTGAGTGGCTGTTAAAGCTGTGATACTTGCTCAGGCTGGCAGGAGACTTAGGTACCTGCTGACATTGCAGACTGTTCTTGTGTCCCTGTTCAAGAGGAACTGCAGTGGCCCAATTAAGTAGAGGAAATAGCTGACTCCAAGGAGGAAAGTCTAATACTTTCCCCTTTTAATTGGGGACATATTAATCTGGTGATGGGAACCATTGAGAACATAAGCAGCATGGGATTCAGACAAAGTAAAGAAAAACCTGGCAGAGGAATTAATATGATCTGTCTATTGTTAAATATGAAACATGCACTGAACAAGAAAAAATACGTTTGAGGGGAATAGGAATACTTAACAGGAATACGGTGCTTCCTGTTGGGAAAAGGAAATTATGTATCTAGGTTGCTTTTCTTGTTTAGAGAAGTTTTTGGCCGCAGCCAAAACTAATGCTGGGTGATAGCAGGACTGAGGCGTGCAAAGGGAGTTGATAACTTTTGCCTCCGAGAAACTTATTGTTTGTAACACCTCCCAGTGAATACAAATATGATGTTGCCTAAACCTGCCAAAATAGGCTTGGAGAACTTACTTGCCAATGAAAGAGGAAAGCGATGGCAGTTTTCCAGGTGAGGATGATGCAGTTAGGTGCCTTGTCCCCTGCACTGTTTATTACGTTCAGCATCTTCTGTGCCTGCAAAGCCGTTCAGTTGTGTGAGGGCAGTCAGAACAGTGCTGACCTGTCACGCAGGACAGCAGAATTCTATTTGCCTTCAGCATACCTGCTTGCCACCTACCTGCACTGGTGATCTTCATAAACAGAAGTGGTTAAGCAGAGCCACTCGGGGCTTTATGCAACCTCTGTAGCTTGGCTGGCTGCGTGCTGAGTCAGCTGGCAGAGGAAGCTGGGAAGATCTTTATTGTGATGAAGTATTCTCCACAAGGCCATGTTTGAAGCGAGCATTTGCTGCAGTTTTCATTTCACAGAGGGTGCTGCTCTGCCCTTGCAGTCAGAGAAAAGCCCATTTGCCAGAACTGGTCTGCATTATTTAAATAGAGGATGGTGTTTGGAGTGCTGCTGTGTGGCGCAGCAGCAGATGGGAGTATTTGCAGTGCTAGATTAAGGCTCTGTGGGGGGATTTCTCAGGTGACTGGTGTGTGGTAGGGGCACTGATTCCTCTGTTGTACCACACAGTCTTTAACACTGTGTTGCAGTGTCCTAACTGCTAAATGATGCATGTTCCTGAGCAAGTATTCCAGTTTGTTTTTTAAAAACAAGCATAGCCACATTTTTCCTGTCACCTGAGTGAGCACTTGTTTGCTTGGACTGGTGTTGATTCACTGCTGAATTTAAGTTATCAGCCTTTCTTCTCAAGGATTTTACTTGTCCTCTTTTATTGCCTTCCATTACTGGTTTGCTATCTTATCTTTAAGGGCATGAGATCATCCCGAGAGGCTCCTGCTGGTGTGACTCAGGGTTGTGAATGTGTTTCAGCCAGTGGCCTGCATCTTGTTAGCCAGTTTTAAGTTAAACTTGCACCTTTCAACTTCACGTTACAGGATATTGCAGCAAACCCTCATGATGCTTTTCTTCCTGTAGGAACTGGCCTTTAAACCTTCTGTCAATCTCTTGTTAAGCATAGCTGAATCCTTCCAATTAGTTTGATTGGCACTGGTGTTCTGATGAGTCAAACTGAAGTGGATGTGGATGGTCCCTCTAATTCAGAGGCGCAATAATACCCTGCCAGCATTTTAGAGCAGTTTCAGTCTGGCCTGAAGCAGCCAGGAGTTGCAGCAGCAGTGAGGGACCGTGGAAGGGCAGTGTGCTGTGGCTCACTAACACTTTAACCTGACCATCAGGGTGATGGTGATCTTGTGATTTATATTGGGGTTTGGTTCTTTATTTCTATTCACAAGTTTTTCTGCCCCAATGGGGAGTATCTCTTCTGCAAAGGTGTGAAGAGTGTAAAATGAAGGCAGAGGCAGCTGCTTGCTCTGTGTTTTGGACGTCTTTAGCAAACCAGACTGCGGTTGTGTGGTGTGGAGTCTTTTGTGTGGTGTTTTGTCTTTTAGTTCTCGTGTTCTTACAAAGATGTGAAATTCAAACAGTCCCTGACTATTGCAGTGATGGCCATGTATGTTCTTCCTGGAAGAGGAATATTCTTCCATGCTGGGCAAAGGAGACTGAAATATTACAAGTAAAAGTCAAGTCTAATGTCTGTTCAGAACGCTGGTGAATGTGGCAGCTCTGGTCCTCTAGAAATATCAAGACTTGGACAGTAGACCCATGACAAGGGTGGTGGTTTTGCCATTATTTTCCTTCATGTTTCATTTGGGAAAATAGATGTTTATTGCAGGTGATTGTCAATGTCTTATCTGCATCTGGAATCTCATTCTTATGTCATTTTTGTCTTGTAGTTGTACTTATTGGAGACTCTGGAGTAGGCAAGAGTAACCTTCTGTCTCGATTCACTCGCAATGAGTTTAACTTGGAAAGCAAAAGCACCATTGGAGTAGAATTTGCAACAAGAAGCATTCAAGTTGATGGGAAGACAATAAAGGCTCAGATATGGGACACAGCGGGGCAGGAGCGATACCGAGCTATCACATCAGCGTAAGTGACACCTTGTGTGGCTGAAGAGAAGCTTTTGCTGAGGAGGGTGATTTTTGGGCCCTTCCGATTCTTCAAACTGCAAGCAGGGGGTGTTTGTATTTTATCGTGTGATATCCACGACCTATGATGGAAGGAAGGTTAAATATTATTCAGATCATAAACTTGATATAGTGTGTCCCTGTGCAGACTGATTTATTTCTCAGTGCTCTCATGATTTGTAACTGGAGGCATTTCAAGCCTAGAATGTGAGAGCTTTGAGGGACTCATTTCAGTGCAAGCAGTTGATAAGGTAATATCAGTGTTCACCGAGGTTTTATCAGTGGTAACCTAAGACCAGAAACCCTCCTGTTGTAGCAGTGAGGAAAGACTGCTCACTTTGTGTACTTCCTTAACTGGAAAAAACCAGCATAGCAAAAGCTGGATTTGAGTAAAGCTGGAGGTAATTTTGGGGTGGGAGAACGCAGCTTTTTTTGGTTTTTTTGAATGGCTTCCTGTGCCTCTCTGGTCTGAAAGGAGAGCAGCCATGGCCTCTTGTAAAGGGAATAGATCACACTGACATTTTTATGATCCAGTGAGTCATTCTAAAGTCTCTCTCGCGATGGGCTGTGCCCGTACTGCACCCACAGCAATGGGTGGGGAGACCTTTCAGGAGTGGATCAGAGGTTAAAGGCAGTAGTAGCTCCCAACAGGTTCCAGAGCTTTATTTTGGCATGCAGGGTTGTCCCCACAAACACGGGGTTTGGCTTGGCCCTAGACTCTGAGCTCTCCTGGCTGCACTGGTGGTACTGCGGCACAACCCCAGTCAGAATGCTCTACTTCACTGTTTCAAGTCCCACAGAGCCCGCTTCTGGGTATTTTTTTGGATAGCTGCTGTAGTAATAGCTATTTTCCATTGTTGCACAGTAACTTGTCTAACTTGTCACTTCTAATCATGATGTTTCTCGCTGGTTCTCTAACACATCTCTTCGCCCACAGGTACTATCGCGGAGCTGTAGGGGCATTATTGGTGTATGACATTGCCAAGCACCTCACTTACGAGAATGTAGAGCGATGGTTGAAAGAGCTGAGGGACCATGCTGACAGCAATATTGTAATCATGCTTGTGGGAAACAAGAGTGACCTGCGCCACCTGAGAGCAGTGCCTACAGATGAGGCCAGAGCTTTTGCAGGTCGGTGAACTCAAAATAGTTTCCTACTGCAAACTGTCTGGGGACCCGCTTCCCTGGTCTTAGATATGCAAGTGTGCTGGTAGGATGAGAAAGGGCTGCTGGTGGTGTTCTTCAGTGTCACATGCCAGAGTTTGCCTCTCTTTAATTCAGTCAAAAAAGAAGCCTTGTAGAACATCCGTGCTGATGTGGTTACAAGAATCAGCCAGAGGCACTTTAAGATTTTAAAACATCCTTGTAAAAAAAGGATCCCTGCCTGCAGCTGGAGGATTGTCATTCCCCCATAGGGCTATTGCTGTTACGTAGCTGCCATCAGATAGTAGCCGGTGGGAGGTGGAGAAACTTGATGAAGTTAATGAAAATCCAGGAATATTCCTCAATCAGTTCTTGAAAGTGCAACATATTCTCACTTTCAATGATGCAGGAAGATGTGCCTCAAAGTAACATGGCACTGGGCTGATCCCTGTTGTTGTTGGGTGGTGTTGCTTTCAGATCGTGTAAGAGGGGAAAACCCCCCAACTTCTTATTCACTACAAATGTAATTTGGTGCAGAAGATCTTCGGCTGGGAAACAGGTATGTGGTACAGCCTTCTAACTACAGTGTTTCTGTCCACACAGAGAAGAATGGTTTGTCATTTATTGAGACGTCTGCTTTAGACTCTACAAACGTGGAAGCAGCTTTCCAGACTATTCTGACAGGTGAGTCACCTCATGCTCTCGGTTTCAAGGGGGAGGGGCAGAAGGCTGCTCTGATATGATGCAAATAGGCACTTCTTTGCCTATGAAGTGTTTAAATTTTGCTAACCATTCTTCACAGCCGTAAGATTTGCAGTCCAGTTTTGAGTCACAGTTAAAAGGCCAGCCTTGAGCTCACGGATGAATCTTTGTTCACTTTGATCTGCCCCAGGTTTCTAGTCAGCCTCAGCCCAGGTTATGTTTCAGTTTCCCATTTGTGTATGGTATAGGGAGTGCCCACAGGAGGGGATTGTCTCATGCAAGCAAAACACCCATTGTGTATCAGAGGAGAAGCCAGTCTAGTTTGTTTTCACTTTTAATGGTGGCCGTAGCAGTTGGCAAGGGAAAAGGGATGAAAGAGTAGAGATCCTCCCTTTGAACAGTACTACTACTGGTAGTATGAGACATAGTGACTCCTGAGCTGCAGGGTGGTTGCTGTCATTGCATTTAATAGTCCTGGCTGGACTTTTGGCCTCTGTAACATGTGATAGCAGAGAGTGTTGTCTTTTATGCTTTGTGGATAAAAGTACTTCCTTTCTGTTTAAACCCTTAAACATTCTCTTAAAAACACACCAAGAAGGCCTTTTTAGCCATACTAGAACATGCAGGGGAGGAGACAGCTACGAAGTTATTTACTGTAATAAAAGTAATACTGTAGCATTTCTTGAAGTGCTTTATGAACACCCTGGCAGTGGAGAGAGTTGTAGGCTGCTGGAGTATTATCTGCCTGCGTGCATCTGTTTCTTGTCTTACCTTAGCTGTAAGATAAGACAACTCTTCTAGGTTCTGGTTCTACTGTGGTTTTTACAGTGGGTTCTTAAGCAGGAGTGCTCCTGTCCATACACGAGCAAAAGTGTGTATGTTGGGTGAATAAACAGCGCATAGGGATGTTTGTCATCTTGCTGCTTCATACAGTGCTGGGACTAGAACTTGAGTTGGTTTCCTCTTTAGCTGAACCATGTGGTTCCTTTTTAACTTCAGTGCTGTCATTTGGTTGTAATTCAACATTGCACAAATTTACAAATTAAAAAAGGAGAAGTTATGGTGGCTTATACACTTACTCCCTGTATGACTAACCACTAATGCCATCAGAGGGTGGATGGCCAAGGAGTGGCTCAATGGGATGGTATCTGGGATGCCTGCTGGACTTGCTGCTTTCTTCACCTACCTAAAGTCAGTCCTATAGAAAATGCTTGTGAATTTGGGCATAGATTTTTTTTTAAGGACAGAAGATGTTTTTATTGCTTATTTGTAACTGCTAGAATCTGAAACGTCTTCCTTTATGCATGTGCCCTTGGCTGCCCCTCTCCTCTCAGGAGCACCTAGACTGAGCGTTGAGGTCAGATTCTGGCTAAAAGTGATGTGTGTAGTGTAGAACAACCTTGCTGCTTGCTCTTAAAAGTTTTCAGAGGGGATCAGGGCTCTCGGATGAAGGTTAGTGAATTGACTTTCATACTCGTTCAGCACCAGCACGAATAGAACTGAAAATACATCAGACATTGTTATCACCTCCTAAGGCAGCTGGCAGGCTGTCCTAGCCAGTACGAACTGGTCACCTAATTGCCCCATCCCCTCTTGGGTTGTTCTGTTCTCTAATAGTGATGCTGAAGAGGTGGAAAGTTTCCTGCACGCCCAGGGCTGTGTGTTACCTCCACAGAGCTGTGTGACGCTCAGACGATACGCTGTTGTTGCCATGGGGAAGCAGTTCACCTCTTGGGCACAGGCTAGGCTGTTCCTTTCTCTCTCCTCCCATGCTTCCAATAGTACCTTTTATTCAGAAGTTATTTTGGATTCTAATTTGCAGATTACATGGGTTTTTTCCTGGTTTAGTTTTTCTGTAATGGAGAGCAGTCTGTAATGGGAGAACAAGCCATTAAAACTTGCCCTCGGTGGACTCTGACAGATTGTTGAGGCTGTTGCTGTTCCACAAACGTCAGTGTTCCCTGTGTGTTGCTGTGATGGTATTTTGGGTAGAGAGCTCTTGGGCATGTGGACAGGCTCCTTGTTCGGGAGGGGTTGGCTCAACTGTGCTGGAAGAAACACTTCTGCTGATTAGTGGGCATGTGGCTCGCTCCAGACAGGAGCTCCTGTTTCAGGGAGATAAAGATGAAGTAAATAATGCATTAGCAGCAGGTTGGCTCCATCTCAGCTGTGACTGGCATGTTAAGGACGAATGTTCTGCCAATAAACTTCTTGATAACACTTCACAGCTGGCTTTTTTCTGTTAATGGTTTGCTTTGAAGGAAAGAGGGGAGCAGTCATCTGAGGAATGTGGTTTTCAGAGTGACCCTGCAGAATCCTGGATAGCCTGTATTTGGCAAGACTGCCTCCAAGCATAGTGCCTGCGGGTGGAATGCTTGCTGTCCTTTGAAGAAGGGAGTTGGTAAAGGTAGCAGGCTTTGCCACAGGCTGCATAGAGGTGGATGACAGAAGGGGCAGGGCATGCTGCTGCACCAGCTCTGCTAGTATTTGCAGTGCTGGGAACTGCACCGCAGAGACATCCCAGGCTGCTCCTGCACACAGCTCCCTGGGTCTCATGAGCAGGGTGTTGTGACTAAGGTCTGTAGCAAAACTACTTTCTTCTGCAGCCCTGTTGAAGCTGGTCTGGTTGGGTCAGTCTTGGAAACTGGTAAGAGTACTTCCCTTGGAGGTGTACCATGGTCTGTGTTAAGCTTATCCACACCTACATTCTCGGACTAGACCACTCTGAATAGATGGCTTTGGGCATAGGAAATAGGAATCCATTCTAGTTAGCACAGCGTAAGTATGTGATCTGCTGTTGTTATAAGTGGAAGAATGGGGAGAAAGCTTTTCTTTCCTCTCCCTTATTGTAGAGGACTTTTAGAGAGGGTTATATCTTGCATCCAGTGGGTTTCCTGTCCTGCTGTGGGACAGAAACCTCCAGATGAAGTTTTGGGGACCTTTTCCTTCTGTGACTTAGAGTAATTAATGGTCCCTATCCAAATTCTTCTGTTGCAAGATGTCTAGACTTCAAGGGCTGATTGCTGTGCACACAAAGCTGCTTTGTATCATCTGGCAAATAGGAGAGACTGGTATTATAATCCCAGGCACTCTGAGCATTCACAGAAGGCTGAAGCATCCTTAAAGTAAACTGGAGTCTGCCCCCGTTCCCTGCCTGGCTGTGTGCTGTCTCTGTTCCTGTACTGCATTGTGCTGCTGTTTCATCTCTAAGGAATCCCATCTCCAAGGAGACAACATCACAGAGCATTAACATCAAAAAAATGTAGGGATTTCCTCTTTGTTACCTGGAAATGAATGAGATGCTAGTGCAGGCTGAGCAGACAAGGGCTGGACAAGCTCCTCCTAGACAGCAGTGTCACTTTTTCCCAGCCCTCTTTCAGTGCAAGGCCTGTCTCACACAGTTACCAATTATGCAGTGATGCATTCTGCTGAATGTGCTCCTAATAAGGTCTCATTCAGTTACTGAGCAGAGCATAAAGTGTAGTGTCTTCATTAAGAAGCACATGTATTCATTAGCCTGGCATTCCTCTGTACAGACTAGTTTCAGTGTAGGCTTTGCTGCTGGGCATTTTGCCGCAGCAAGAGGAGGTTTGAGCTGTTCCCACCTCCCCTTTCACACCATCACAGCTGTGTGTGGTGAGAGAACGTGCAGCTGATGCAGGGAAAGGCAGGGTTTAGCCATTAAGGCTTTCCTCTGTGTGGCTGCACACAGGTTTGTGCTGCAGAGGAGGGAGAAGCAATGCTGAGCAACAAACTTGAAGCTGCTGCAAGTGATGGAAGCAGCATGGCTGTGAAATGTCCCCGCAGGACTGTTGGGGAGGCCGGGGAAGTGGGGATCATAGAAATAGTTCCCAGAGTCGGAAGGGATAGACCCTTTATCAGCAGAGAAATCAGTGCTGTTAAGATTGTTTTTGAGGCTTTGGGATTGTTTGTTGATGGTCTTTGCTGTAAGATGAGGGTGTTACACAGAGTTGTTAGTCCTTGCTTTACGTGAGTGGAGGAAGTGTGTGATAGCTTGTTAGGGACTAGGAGGAACTTGTTCAGGAAGTTCTCTGGAAAACTGAGAATTGTTGCTGCTGTAGTTGCTACTCGGGAGTTTCCAGTAATGAAGGTGGCAAGAGCCTTCTGTTGAATAGGAACAGGCAACATTCTACACCTGGAGGTAAACTGGGTGTCTACCCTGACCTGGGGTAGGGTGGTGGTGCAGGAAAACTTGTCCTGAAGAATGTAGAGCAGATCTCCTGGGCTGTGCTCCTCCCACCCCTGCACACAGGCACTCAGCTGAACTCGGGGCCAAGCTGATCCTTATCTGCAGATTCCCACATGGGCTTGCAGGTGGCTTTAAAGACCTGATCTCATGGGGCTCACTTCACCTGTGAAGTTGTTTGTGTGTAAGACTTGGAAAGAAGAGTGAACTTAAAAAGGGTGAAACCAGAAAAGCCTTTTACGTGTGCAGTGCTTGTTTGGTTGCCTCAGTGACTTGATCTGTAACTGAATGTGTGTGTGAAACCAATTTTTCTGGACTGTTTATCCCTGTCTGAGTCTGAGCTGTCAGCTTGGAGGCCCAACAGGCAGATTCTTTCTAAGTGCCACTTGCAGAGGTCAATGTTATTTGTACAGCCCACAGATACAGCACAGTACCTGAGAGATGTCTGTTTTGCCACGTGTGCAGTCCTGCTCTCACTCTTCCTGGGGAGCTCTTAGCCTTGGTGTTGGCAGCTTAAATCAGTGCAGGCTCATTATGTCAAGGGCAAGGTTTTCAAGCCTTTTCTATCAGGGACTCTTTTTAGCTCCTCAGTGCCGTCTTTTCCCGTTGTAAAAGCAGGCGCTCAGCTGTGTGATCAGCCCTTGGCAGCAAGGAGGATCTCAGCACCAGGTTGCTCAACTTCCAGTACTGAAATGATGTCAGGATGTGCACTAAGCAGCAGCTCATCAAAATTCTGAGCGAAAACAAGTCACAAATGCTAAATTTCTGGTGGAAAAGATGTGTTTTGGTGTGGAGTCCAGCAGGGTGTGTGTTTGGGCAGTCACTACCCAGCTGATAAGAGACTTCAGACCTCCAAAAGCACTTGGACTTTTGCTTTGTTTTGCCAGAGTTGTTTGTGAGCTGTGCTCTTCCCTGCTCTGCAGGAGTGAAGTGCTGACACCCTTGTCTTCTGCAGCTTGGGCTTATCTGAAAGCTGTGACAGCGAGCTGGAGCGTGCAGACAGGGAGCAGGCATCGACTCCAGCTCATGGGGCTCTGCTGTGGGCACTGCTGGTGAGCTGGCTGCCAGCACCGCTTTGTGGCGTGCCAAGAGCCAGATGTGATGCTGTCATTTCGGGGCTGGCTTTCTGCTGAAACACTTTCAAGCTCCTTTGTTAAACTGAGGCTCAGCAAGCTTTTATTTATCAAACTTTAGTGGTTTTAAAACTCAAATTTGCAAGTGAGTTCCCCATGTTCTATTTTTGGTATCCTTGATTTCCTTTCCGGGGGTGAAGTGCTACACACGCCGTACGCTTTCTTCTGTGCAGCTGAAGTAAGTGCTGTTGTAGCTGCTATGAGTTTCTGTCCAGCACAACAAACCCCAGGAAGCAGGGCAAGGCTTTAGTGCAGGTGTGCAGCATTCCCCACGTGGCAGCATACCCGAGAAGGCGCGGGAGTTTAACCTGTGCTCCCTGATTTGTGCTGGAATTTCTTCATCTGGAACCCGCCTTTCTTCTCCATAGTTTTGAAGTTCAGCTACGCTAACACAGCAAATTCTGTAGTGGGTTTGTGTGCTGCTGAAGGGGCTGAGTCTCTCCTTTTGGGCCCCAGTCAACCCTTTCTGAACATTTAAAGCTGCTTGGATGACAGGGAAGGTATTGTACGTGATAGGCATGCTGAGAGAGAAGAAATGGCCCTTGCAGTCCTAGCGGGGAGGGACAGGATGAGTGGTTCTATTTAATCCTGCTGTTTATGGATACGCCAGCAAGCATGTGGCCACTGTCCTCAGAGCCTTAAGAGCTATCAGAAGGAATTGCTGGGGCACCGTTCCTGATTCTTAGCAGAGAAGTCTGTGTATTCTGGCCATTTGCTAACTCTTATCTTGAGGGAAGTGAAACAGTTGTTGAAAAACTCATTTCTTTTGCAAAAATTATGTTTTTTGAATATAGAAAGCACCACGATTGAACTTCCTGTGGAAGCTTCCGTGCGTTACCTGTATAATTCCAAAATGCTGGGAAACCTTTCTGTATTTTCTGCCTGCTTCCCCCCACGTTATTTCCTGCTGGTGTTTGGCTGGTGTGTGTGCAGTGACTGGCTCTTTCTCATCTTCCAGAGATCTATCGTATTGTTTCCCAGAAGCAAATGTCGGACAGACGCGAGAACGACATGTCTCCAAGCAACAACGTGGTTCCCATTCATGTCCCTCCAACCACCGAAAACAAACCAAAGATGCAGTGCTGTCAGAATATATAGAATCGTTGGTTCTTTCCTAAAAGGCTGTGTATATTCCCCGGGTCCGAGATTTAAATATATTTGTAATTCTCGTGGTTACTTTCCTGTGTTTAGTTACTGCTCATTCCTTCTCAATTTCTCCATGTCTTAAACACTCTGATTTCAGTGTTTATAAATCTATTACTTCTATGTGGCTGCAGTATTTTGCCAACAGCGACTTGTTGGTTTTGGTTCAGTGAGTTGTTTGGAGCTGAGCTGATCTCTTTCCACCATGATGCCCGCTAGTCAGAGCACAGACACCTTTAGTGAGCACTCGAGGACGTTATTCTGCTCCTCACAAAGCAGTTGCTGTCAGGTAACTAGGGAAATATCTCTGGGCAGGATAATCTTTCCTTGACTTAAGGTGTTGCATACTGCATCTAAAGCTTGATGAAACGCCCGTTGCTCTGAAGTGCAATTTTAATGTAAGTTAAATGTTTTTGGCTACATCTTCAGATTATCAAGTTAAGGTTTTTATTTTAATTAATAGAATATTATGGGGGAGAAAAGAGAATTTCTTGCCAACAAGCACCAGGGTTCTTGCTACCTGTGAGTGAGCTTGTGTGGTTTCGCACCTGCTGCAGAGGAGGTTGTGATGTGAGGCAGAGCTGCGGGAGGCTGGTGGGACTCCACGTGAGGGGACCCTTGGGAAGAACGTGGAAGCACGAGCTGTGTTATGGATGAAGGGTCAGGCCAACACTGGAACTTGCAGTGTGGCTTTGTGCTGCCTGAGACTTGGCCTCCACAGTGCTGGTGGTATCAGGATTTGAGGATGCCTTTTTTTCTTTCACGGGATTTGAAGGATGTTGTCACATATTACATATCACCTTTATTAATACATGCCACATATATTAGTATATTCAGTGCTTGACTGGTGGATCAGTAACTTCCACAGCCAGGTCTTGGTTTTCAGTTCTATTTCATCCTGTATTTCTAAGTTATCCCAGTGGTTTGGTTTATGTTCTTTAACAAAAACATCTGCAGTAGTTTCCTTGCTGGATGGGTTCCCTCTGTGGTCAGTGGCTCAGTTCAAATCATCTGTTGGATCAGCTTGTTCAGGGATACATGGACTGTGCCTTCTGTCACTGCACTTGCTGCATCTTGCTCCGTACGTGCTCTTCCTAAACATGCCATTAATCCTGAGATTTGGGGACTTCGGGCACTGGCTTTCTCCAGGGTTTAAAAGAACTGTTAGTTGTATAAATGCCTGCAGTTATTTATACAATTATGAGAAGTGTAAGTGGTTAGAGGGGATGTTTCTCAAGCTCTGGTATGACCAGCTTGGAGCATCCCAGTCTGGGTAGGCACTACCAGCTGTGTTTCGTACCCAACCTTTCTGTCTCGCGGTGCTCATGATGTGTAAGGCACACGGAAGGCATTGCTGTAGTCGGTCACTTGTGTTTTTTTAAATCCACTTCTCCTCCTGGTATTAGTTCTGAAGATGCTATTTTGATCTGTTTGTAAATTACTTTGTATTTTATGCATGTACTGTACCTTGAACCAATTTTTTTTTTTTTTTTTAGATTGATTTAAAATATATTCATCCATAATTCTAATAAAGAATTACAGGGGACAACTCAGGATGGTGTTGGGTGCACTTCTTGGGAGAACAGGGATTTAACCTAATGCTTTTTACTTACTGGGAGCTAGTCAGCTGCTTGGAACAGGCTGTGAGAAGACACTGAAGATGCTTCCTTCTGCAGCAAACACAACTGCAATGGAGCCTGTGGGAGCACAGATCCCTGCTGGAGGCCGGGTGCGCATGCTGCTTCCTTCACTGCAACAAGCAGGGCTGTGTTTAAGCCCTGGACAGCTGTGAAATGGCTGCAAGAGCTGTTAGACAAAGTAAGAACTCTAATTTTACCTTTTTTTTCCCCCACCAGAACTTTAGACTTAATCATAAACCAGGCCACAGACAAAAATGCTGTGCAAAACCTGATGTTGCACTAATGAACTGCTGCAGTGTGGACCATGACATTTTCAGGCAATGGTTTGCAAAGCCTTCATAAGCCATCGACTTCCAAAGCAAAGTCAAATGGTGTGTACAGAGCTGTAACTCCTCACCTGTTAAAGCTTCACCCTCGTGTTCTGGGGTTCTGTGCTGCGTTTTCCTGACCGCGCGGTGCTGAGTCCTGGGACACTGCTGGGACATAAAGGTGCTTCCCAAGGAGCTTTGGGAGAGACAGGGCAAGACATTATTCCATTGGAACACAGACCCAGCAGGGAATTGTTTGTGTTTAGCTGCTGATTAATCATCTTTTTCCATAATATTGGTGTTACTTCTGTACTAAAGTGTCTCTTTGCTAATAGGAGACAACCAGTTATAACAGAAAATGCTTTTGGGCCCTGAAATGAGCTTTGTGAATTTCTGGGAACTCTCTATAATGCTCTAAAATTGGCTTTACCTTACAAAAGCTTTTGCTATTGTTTACATACTTGGAAGTCCCAACCTTCACCATTATGAAGCTGCTCAGTGAGTGTCAGTGGTTCTGGTGTTTGATGGGAGATGAGGTTCTGCTTCTTAAGCAGAAAGGACGTGTTATTGTTCTGATTTAAAGACATTTTTATTCAGCTAGAACTAGTGATTCTATCAGCTCAAACCTGATGAATTTCCAGCCTTAAGATAGCTTATCAAGTGTGGCTTGTCAAATCATAAGGAGATTACATGCTGGGCTTTAGTTAACAAGGGTTTTAGAAATATGAAGTACAAATATTGGAAAAGCTTCAACCTGTGGCAGTGCTCAGGGCTGCCTGGCATCTTTAATTCTGAAGCTGTTCCACTGCAGATCTGTGCTCCTGATGTATTGATGAGGCTCCCTGGGAGCGCTGTCAGACCTGCTGAGGTGGCTGCTGGTGTCCTGTCTCATCCCTGCTGGATGCAGGACAGTAACTGTGCTGGTCTGTATCCTCATGAAGGCACAACAACCTGATAGTGCCACAGAGCACTGAAAATCAGAGCCCTGATGCTCTTTGTACGTGTGCAGGAGCTTGGCTGGGTTTGTGCATCGCTGGGGTCTCTTGCTCAGACCCATTGAGGTTAAACTGCTGCGGAACTGTAAGAAAGATACATACAGAGCCAGTTTCATTTTGCTTTAAAGCTAGAAATAAGGTCCAAGCTACAGTCTGAATGACAGCAGTGTGTTTTCCGAGAAATCCTGCCTCTTCTGGGTGATAACCCTGATCCTGTAGGATGTTTTCGTTGAGGGTGGCAGCCCCTCCGTGACCAGTCGCATCGCCTGGACCACCCAGACCTGAACAGGGGCTGGAAGCTTCAGTCTGCAAATGAGTACGTTTGAGAAGTACACACTGAGAGAAATTCCCTTTATTTTGTACAAGGTGGGATTCCTTTGCACGGTGAACAAATATATTACAAATCTGTCTTGCCTTAAAAAAGTATTGCCATTTTGATGCCTGTTTCCGAAGCTAATGCTCATATACAAGAAGATACTTTTTTAGGTGCTGGGTTTGGTTTTTTTCCTGTTAAGCTCTATGCACATCGTTGCATTTGGTTTGAAAATCCAGCTTTGAAAAAATAGTGGAGCACATCTCTGCTCTCTGGAGTCTCATTGTGAACTTCACAGCAACACACACAGATGTTGGTCAGGCAGCAGCTCAGACTGCTTGTGCTCGGTGTCAGGTAGGTCTCTAACAAGAGAGTTCCTTTGCAAATTGCCTTTTCTCATGGTACTTTTGAGGTAAGTCTTTCTATTCCTGTACATAACATATATCCCTACGGGCCCTACAAAATAATTGTCTGCTTACATCTCAAATAAGGCTTTCCTGGAAAAGAAAATCGCTATTGCTGCTCAGTCATTGCCCCCATGCACACATGCAGCATTCATGTAACTACGTATGCATTATCCTGCAGGATGAAGATCTGCTGCTCTGGAGGGTCGCTTGGTTTGCCCAGTGGGGTCCAGAGTCCACCCAGCCCCATCACTCCTCATGCCCTGATGGGAGCATGTTGTGGTGCTGCACCCAGGGGTGCTGTGCAGGCTGCCAGGGGCTTGGTACCACCTTGACAGGGCTTCCATCCCCACCAGGGTGCTCCGAGTGATCCAGCACTTGATCCTGGTCTGACTCAGAGCTGGGATCAAGCCGCTGCTCCAAGTGGGAAGGTTCCTCGGACCAGTCCCCCAGACCAGCGGGTTACACAAGTGATCATGCTTTGAGCAAACTGAGTGATGCTGGTTTTGGGCTCTTCTGCTTCCGTCAGACTGGCAAATGTGCAACACAATGTTGTGGTTTCTATTTAAGAGGCAGTCAACTTGCTACTTCCATGTTTGCCTAAGAAAATTACATACTTAGAATCGATACTACTTCATGCTCAAAATCTACAAGGAACTGTTTAACAGCGAGTGTTCTACTTCCTAGGTCAATAAAGATAAAAAAAACACTCATGGTGGCTTAGTCCAAAACTTTACCACGGCCAACCCCTTGCAAATCCCTTCCCAAACAGCTGCTGAAACACAAACCCAGTTTCAGCTCAATTTAATGACATTTCAGGTAGAATCATCAGCAGATAAAGATGCACTACATGGTAATGCACATCAAATTAAAGGGGGTCATAAATGGCATGCTGGAAGGGAATCATGGTGAGATGGTTTGTGAAGATGGGCTAGAGGAGGCGATGTGGCTTAGCTTTAGGAAAGGAAACCAAACCAGGGCTAGTCTGTGAAAACCTGCATCAGTCTGCACTGCCTGACAAATCTGGTGGATTTATCTAACAAAATCAAAGCTGTATAAGGGAAATTAAAGCCTATTTGTGCTAATCCGAGTACCTTATACCTTGTTAAACCTGTGGCGAGATTGGTGCGAGGCTCTATGTTGAAACTCAAGTCATTAGCAAAGATCAGTGGACATTTGCGGAGCTGTTACATTTTAAAACCTGCACAGAACGTGTCTGTGTTCATATTCCTCAACTCAAAGACCCTGGTACTGAATAGAAAGATAAAAATCTCCGTGCTGATTACCAAGCATGATCTGCACAGGTTGCACATGGTTATGGCAGTAAATGGGATTTCCAGGCAGTGAAATGACAAGGTTCCCTGCTTTCA